TTTGCAGATTATTTTAAGGTCTACATTTAAAAGAGAAATTGGACGATAGCTTGAGGGAAATAAAGGGTCTTTGCCTGGTTTTAGCAGGAGACTAATGTTCGCAGAATTCATATTTGGTGGTAGTCTGCCTAATATTAAAAACTTAGTAGTGACCGCCATTGTTGGAAACTGGAATTGGCTGGGCCGCGCTATGAATTCTGGGATATGGTGGGCCACGAAGGACACACCCGACCCATCCTTCAAATTTGGAGAAAAGGAGGACGCATTTGTCGGCTGCATTTGGAGGAGTCTACGAATCTGGACAGCCTTCGGCATGTCGGCCAACAAATGCGGCCTCAGGAGGATGTAGCCCATGAATTTGGATGCCCCCAAAGTGTCACGGTAAAGTGGCAGTTCATGAGAGGCTGACTAAAAGTCTGTTTTATAAATGTTATTCTAGAATTTTTCCAGTGTTTTTTTAAGACTTGAATTTTATTCGATTTTTTACAAGAAACAGAAAAAAATAGAAGGGACATTCCACCCCTTAAGACAGTTAAAATAGCAAATGTGTTGAAGATGCGTACACCATCTCAACAAAAACAGAGTGCAAAATATAACATAAATAAATAACGATGCCAATAGTTCACATAAACCCGATTACAGCTGTTGTAATTAATCACGAGCTTAACTACTTAAGCCAGATACATCACTGACCTGTATATGAAAAATTTATCAGTTTAATCATCCGATCTCAAATTTTTCCAGTGTTTAAATAAATGATTAAGAAGTAAACACTATTCCTGATGTCAGATAAACACTCAATTTTTCACTTTATTTGACAAGTTCAGAAACACGTGATGTTCGATGTCTTTACAACAACCTGTGAATCACTTCAGTATCACTTTGTTCTTACAGCACATTATGAACATAGTTATGATAAACACTTTCATTAGCAGCACATAAACATTACCAATACGTCAATAAACACTTACAAACAGATGTGCTTTAGTTTGCTTTCAATACTGAATAATGTTGGAGATGTAAAGTGACCACAAACACTGCAGAAAACATGATGTTCTGATTAGCTGACATCATGCCACTAACTTCCTGTTCACAACATCTGCCATCAGCTGATCGTGTCACTTTGAAGCTGTCATTCATCAGCCTCGCCGCTCTGTAAACTTACTACAGATTCACAACAACAACCACAACACTAACACACGCACAAACACACTGACACATGATCATTTCCAGCTGGGTGACAAAAGTAACATACACATTTTTCACTTTAAGCTAATAAATAAACAGTAAAATAAACTCCTTAAATTACATTTCAGTAATAAACACATTAAAAACACACAATCAATATCTGCAATCCAACACTGTCGTCAGGAAAACAAGTTTTAAATTCATTTTTTTTTAAAAAAGAAAAAAAGAAAAACTTTCGATCATGTTCCTGGAATTTCCTGAATTTTATTCCTCTAGCAGCATCTTTTAAAGCTGCAATCATATTTATGGTTTAAAAACTCATATAATCAAAAGTTGTAACACTTTGAAAATTTTATTTCAAAATGAAAAAAAAATGTGAGAAACATTTGTTTCATTAAAAAAAAAAGATTTGAGGTTTTTAATGCATCAACATAAACAAGGCTCTAGAGTGTGACATGCGACCTAACTTCTCAGTGGTGTGACTAAAAGAATCCTAGGTCGCACCGGTGCAACCAGTCATTCAAGTAAAGAAAACATCACACATTATGCCTGTATCGTGGTCTAAACCAATCAGAGATAGTGAGGGGCAGGAGCTCTCTGATTGGTCATGGTCCAGATGTAAGCCTGTGTGTGTACATTTGAAGGTGCAGGCAGATAGACAGAGGTGAGCAGCCTAGACCCGATAGAAGTGGCTGTAGTTGTGGGTAATGAGAAAAGATGAAAAGAACGATTGATAACTGTTTCGTTAAGGCCTGATCCCTCTGAAATTCATAGCGAGTGCTCTGACACGGAGCCATCAACCTCTCAGGTTATGTCTAACACTGGTTCAGAGACGGCATCAGATAATGAGCCACATACGATGGACTCAGAGCCCACTGACAGTAAAAGCGTAAAGTGTATACGTTGGGAAGAGAGCGGCTTGACCAGTTTCCCTGGCTAAGATACAGTAAAGCTGACAACATGACGCACTGCATTTACTGCAGTGAGTGTGGAGAAACTGTGGCCGGCAATACTGCATTTGTGACTGCAGCTAATACGTTTCAAAAAGAAACGCTGAAAAAGCAGTGCATTCAGAAAACACATTATATGCTGCGATAAATGCACTGGCTTCTCCCCACTGCCTTTCAGCGGCAGCAAACAGGTCGTCACAGAAGGCCGATGTGATGATTAAGTTTAACATTGCCTACGATATTCCCAAAGAAGATGTTCCGTTCACTAAGTTCAAGTCCAAAATAATTCTTCACAAGAAAAATGTCTTGAAGGTAAACCCCATGTACAGTAATGATGTCACGTGTGCCCGGGTTACAGGTGTCATCACAGACACATGGGGAAAAAGGGGGAAAAGGCCAGATTACAGGACATCTGAGGGCCATGTGACTGTAATGGGGGAGGGTCCATAAGATATAAAGCTGTTCAGATACTGAGATGTTCATTTTGAAGCCTGTCAGGCACTTTCAGGTCTTTGTAATTTACATTTTCTTTTTATTGAATATATCTTGAGATGTTTTAAGTTTAAATTTCAGCTCAGTGAAGCACTTTAAACACATTTTTTCAGTAACTTGTCTTTCTTGTAGAAATGTGCTCCAAACAAAGAACTTTGTGTTGACAGGTGCTGGTGCAGCTAAGGAAAAAAAGTTAGGTGCACCAGGCAACTGTGGCAAAAAGTTAGTCTACAGCCCTGACTGATTTTAGTATCATTGTTATGTGTGTTTTTATTTGTGTGACCCCTCCCACCAGAGAATGTGGGTGTGGGTTTTTCTCTCTCCTCCCTCCCAGGTTCCAGTGTGGGTATATCTTGACAGCCGAGTTGTTTGCTTGGATTCCTGTTCCCAGACTGGACAACAAGCTGTGTGTTTCTGATGGTAACTTTTGAGTGTTCTCTGTGTGAAACTCCTGAGTCAAAAAGTTCATTAGTGAGTAAAGTGAGTGAACTTGTGTGTGTTGCGTTGTGAGACCTAATCAAGGTCTTTGTAAATAGTTATTAATAGTTTTGTAAATTAGACAACCTGGAGTATTCTTTCACTATATGTTAAACACGGCAGCAGCCTGATATAAATGAGAAGCCTTTTCTGTTGAAATCTGTTTTCTCTTGTTTGAGTAGGACCTTGGGTTAGAAATCTATCTGTTGTTTGACTTTCATATTGGGCAGGGAACATTAGGGACCTTTATTTTGGCGTGGCTCACTGCCGAAGTCAACAAACGGCTGCGTAGAGTTTAGACTGCTAAAAGTTTTTGTCCTTGGGTGGAGTTGGAATCAGGGAGCAGCATTTCCAGATTACCCCTAGGTTTGGAGAATAACACTTTTTAAAGATAATAAACTATTTTTTAATTTAATTTCAAACGAGGAATTCTGCACCTCTGTGAAAAATCGGTTTGCTTTAAATCTGAGAGTTGAATGTCTTAAACATGATGAGTAAACACTGACAGGTTTACAGACTCAGATTCAGACTCAGGTTTAGCTCACAGCTAAAGGCAACCAGACGCAGCGACCAGGCAGAACTGATCCGAGAGCATCCTTCCTCTCTTTCTCCACTGTGCTGTGTAATAAAGGCAACAGAGACCCCAAAATCTAAAAATGTCATTTAGTTAAAAAAAAAAAAAAAAAAGAAGATACTAACTTTTCTTAGCGGTAATTCTTTGAAGATATTTGATTGTTTGAGAATAAAAAACAACAACAAAAATTCAGAAAACAGTCAGAGAGAGCACCTGCGTTAGGGTGGAATGTTTGTTAAGCTGGCAAGGCTGTTAAGGTGGATTGTTTAAGGTGGAATGGCTGTTAAGGCAGAACATTGTGGGGTGTGGTTCCAGTATAGGCAGAGTGGTGAAAACAGGAGAGTTCAAAGATCCACAGAAAAGGAAACTGATCCAGAGTCATCTGCTACCTGTGAAGAATGGGAGTGATTAAAAAAATGACGACTCAGAAAGAAGTTAACAAACTGACTGATTAAACAGTTAATTCAGGGTTTCAACATTAAATATTAAACATACTCTGACCCGGGAGAAAGAGTTTGTTCCTATTCAGTTTTCTCAGACTTTTTATCAGTGTAGATAAAATAATTATAGTGAGTGACTTTAATATCCATGTAGATATGTGCTCTCTTTCCCAGCACCCTGGCATAGACTTTCCTGGGAGGGCAAAGATGGGAACCACCAAAACAGCTCTACAGCATCCAGAGCCTTCAGGAACTTAGGCCAAACTTCTTCCACCCCAGGACTTCTGCAACCATGGAGTTGTTTAAGTGGCCTCACTCCCGGTGATTGACAATTCGCCCCCCCTTGTACACAGACTCTGCTTTTTCATACAGATGACATGTCAGTAGAATTAAAAAGGCTTTCAGCACGGCCTCTCCGAATTCCACCTAAACCCAGGTTTTTGCTTCGGCTACTGCCTGACCCATGATCCTCTTGGCCTGTCGTTACCTATCCCCACCAGTGAAGTGACATTCCATGTCCCAATTGCTAGTCTCGATAGCCTGGGATTAGTCCATCAGGGTTTTCTAAAAACCTTAAAAACATGATATCTAACCAGATACTTTAAATGGCGTTACCTTGGCCTCCAATAACACTGTGAGGAATCCAATTAATCTTGGATTGATGTGATGGCAGCGTGCTACTTCGGCTCCTAAAACAGGTGCATTATTTTGTTTTTTGTTTGCTTTTCTATTGATTCTGCCCCCTATTACACAACATGTGTGTGAAAGATACAAAGACTCTCATACACCCGCTACGCTCTTCTGGAATATCAATGTGAGATTTAAAACTCTACCCGAAGATCCTCTAACAAAAGAATACAATACAACTTTATTTATAGAGCACATTTAAAAACCAATGGTATACCAAAGTGCTTCACATAAAAGACAGAAAATAAGACAGAAATATTATAAACATTATAGGACCATAACAAAATACCAAGTATGCTAACAGGTCAGTGTTACTAATACACAGGAATGGCATAAAATGCATATCAAGTAAAACATGTTAAAAGCACAAAACCACAAAAGATATGTATAAAAGGTAAAATAGAGTAAGTCTAGGGATCAGATGCAGGCATTAACAAGCAGGAAAGGCAAGGTTAAATAAATAGGTTTTTAACCGTGATTTAAATGATTGGATAGAGTCAGACGCGCAGATAACAATAGGAAGGTTATTCCATAAATGTGGTGCAGCCAAGGCAAACGCACGGTCTGTGTTGTTGATAATTTTAAAGGTAAGCAGCAGTATTTTAAATTGGATGCAGTATTTAATGGGTAGGCAGTGCAGGTCAGCTAGAACAGGGGTAATAGATTCAAACCTCCCAGTTCCAGAAGGTCACAAAGGCTTTTCCAGGTCCTTATGCAGAACATAATGCCTAGCCTTAGAAATGACACGCAGTTGGTAGAAACTAGATCTAACTACAGCGGACACTTGTTTATCAATTGCTAACAGTGTCAGAGAGGGAGCTGGCAAGGGAACCAAAGGCATCGTGAAATTGTCCGCGAGGAATATTACTATCAAATACAACGATTTCAGTTTTATTATCATTTAAGATATGTCACGGTCCTGGGTCTGTGACCCAGTGTTTTCTGTTCTGTATTGTTAATCTTTGATTTCTTGATGTATCTTTGTTTATTCTTATGTTTTGGTTCTGTGTATCCCCTCTATTGTAGTCAGGTCTGTGTTAAGCCCGCGTCTCTGAGTCTGTCTTTGCGTGTGTGAGTTTCCTGTTTTACTTTGAAGGTCTTTGTCTCATGTGAGGGTGTTCAATTTACGTCTCCCTGTCTCATCAGCTCTGATTTTTCCCATGTGTGTTCCTCTCCTGACTCCCATCCCTTGATTACTGCTGTGTGTATTTAAGCCCTGTGTGTTATCCTGCCTGTTGCTGGTTCGTCTGTGTTATCTCCCTACGTCATCCTATGTTTTTCTCTCCATGTCTCCCTGCATCTGGCTTCAGAGCCTTGACAAGATAAGAGAGTTTCCTAAGAGCCACTCTTTGACCTGACACATTCACTCTTGAAAGCAGTGCAGAGACAGAGCAGGATCATCAGCTAGTTCAATGTAGATCTGTATATCGTCAGCATAACAGTGAAAAGCGATATTGTATTTCTCAAAGATTGCACCTAGAGGGAGCATATACAGCGAGAAAAGAATAGGGCCCAGCACAGATCCTTGAGGCACTCCACAGCAGACAGGTGCAGCGGAGGAAGAGCAGGTGCCCAGGTTGACCGAGAAGGACCTATTGGAGAGCGACCGTGGCTCAGGGGGTTGGGAAGCGCATCTGTAACCGGAAGGTTGCCGGTTCGATCCCCGGGCTCTCTGTCCTGGCCGTTGTGTTCTTGGGCAAGACACTTTACCTACTGGTGTTGGCCAGAGGGGCCGATGGTGCGATATGGCAGCCTCGCTTCTGTCAGTCTGCCCCAGGGCAGCTGTGGCTACAACCGTAGCTTGCATCCACCAGTGTGTGAATGCGAGAGTGAATGAATAGTGGCATTGTAAAGTGCTTTGGGCTATACAGGGAGTGCAGAATTATTAGGCAAATGAGTATTTTGTCCACATCATCCTCTTCATGCATGTTGCCTTACTCCAAGCTGTATAGGCTCGAAAGCCTACTACCAATTAAGCATATTAGGTGATGTGCATCTCTGTAATGAGAAGGGGTGTGGTCTAATGACATCAACACCCTATATCAGGTGTGCATAATTATTAGGCAACTTCCTTTCCTTTGGCAAAATGGGTCAAAAGAAGGACTTGACAGGCACAGAATAGTCAAAAATAGTGAGATATCTTGCAGAGGGATGCAGCAGTCTCATAATTGCAAAGCTTCTGAAGCGTGATCATCGAACAATCAAGCGTTTCATTCAAAATGTCAACAGGGTCGCAAGAAGCGTGTGGAAAAACCAAGGCGCAAAATAACTGCCCATGAACTGAGAAAAGTCAAGCGTGCAGCTGCCAAGATGCCACTTGCCACCAGTTTGGCCATATTTCAGAGCTGCAACATCACTGGAGTGCCCAAAAGCACAAGGTGTGCAATACTCAGAGACATGGCCAAGGTAAGAAAGGCTGAAAGACGACCACCACTGAACAAGACACACAAGCTGAAACGTCAAGACTGGGCCAAGAAATATCTCAAGACTGGTTTTTCTAAGGTTTTATGGACTGATGAAATGAGAGTGAGTCTTGATGGGCCAGATGGATGGGCCCGTGGCTGGATTGGTAAAGGCAGAGAGCTCCAGTCCGACTCAGACGCCAGCAAGGTGGAGGTGGAGTACTGGTTTGGGCTGGTATCATCAAAGATGAGCTTGTGGGGCCTTTTTGGGTTGAGGATTGAGTCAAGCTCAACTCCCAGTCCCACTGCCAGTTTCTGGAAGACACCTTCTTCAAGCAGTGGTACAGGAAGAAGTCTGCATCCTTCAAGAAAAACATGATTTTCATGCAGGACAATGCTCCATCACACGCGTCCAAGTACTCCACAGCGTGGCTGGCAAGAAAGGGTATAAAAGAAGAAAAACTAATGACATGGCCTCCTTGTTCACCTGATCTGAACCCCATTGAGAACCTGTGGTCCATCATCAAATGTGAGATTTACAAGGAGGGAAAACAGTACACCTCTCTGAACAGTGTCTGGGAGGCTGTGGTTGCTGCTGCACGCAATGTTGATGGTGAACAGATCAAAACACTGACAGAATCCATGGATGGCAGGCTTTTGAGTGTCCTTGCAAAGAAAGGTGGCTATATTGGTGGCTGATTTGTTTTTGTTTTGTTTTTGAATGTCAGAAATGTATATTTGTGAATGTGGAGATGTTATATTGGTGTCACTGGTAAAAATAAATCATTGAAATGGGTATATATTTGTTTTTTGTTAAGTTGCCTAATAATTATGCACAGTAATAGTCACCTGCACACACAGATATCCCCCTAAAATAGCTAAAACTAAAAACTACTTCCAAAAACATTCAGCTTTGATATTAATGAGTTTTTTGGGTTCATTGAAAACATGGTTGTTGTTCAATAATAAAATTATTCCTCAAAAATACAACTTGCCTAATAATTCTGCACTCCCTGTATAAATCCAATCCATTATTATTATGCTCAAGCCTTGCTAACAACATGCTGTGATCGACCATTTCAAATGCCGAGGATAAATCCAATAGAACTAGGACCGCAGCGCATCCAGTATCAGCAATTAGAAGATCATTTAGGACTCTAAGCAAAGCTGTTTCGGTGCTATGACGTAGTTTAAATGTCATTCGCATCCAAATACGACAGGAGTTGTGAAAAAACTATCCTCTCGAGAATTTTAGACAGGAATGGGAGCTCGGCCTGCAATTAACATAATCATTATAATCAAGGTTCCTTTTTTTAAGACCAGGCTGGACTACGGCATGTTTAAAAGCTGACGGGTCGATATACTATACCTATACTATGCAAGATGGGAGGATATATATAGGATTAGTATTATTCAGTTGCTCAACTAATCGCTTAAGAGTAAGGAGTGACACGGGCTCAAACTGATGGAAGGTTGATGAACAACCAGGAGAAGAAACAGGGCTCGACACTAAAGGAAGCGAGGGCTTAAGAGAAGAAACTTTATCTCCGGAGGAGGGGAGAAAGCGTAGACTATCCTGGCCAGCATTTGGATAATCCGTAGCCCTTGCTTTAAGGTAAGCCTTGAGGCGGACGCGAAGAACACTCCTATTACCCCGTTTCCTGTAACGTTTCTTGTGCAGGTTGGGAAGGGGTAGGCAGGAAATACTGGTGGAGTCTAGCCGTAACAGGGTGGCGTCACCCAGGTTCAGTGTTGGGAAGGTTACTTTTAAAATGTATTCCACTACAGATTACAGAATACATGCCCCAAAATGTATTTTGTAACGTATTCTATTACGTTACTCAATGAGAGTAACATATTCTGAATACTTTGGATTTCTTAATATATTATCATGCTTTTTACAACTACATGAATGTACTATTGCTGTGTGATTTATTACTGTTACTGAAGGTCCGCGGCTCCAAACCGTAGTAAAGGGACCTCTGACTAATACGTCGGGTTCCGTGTTGGGCTCGTAGCCGAAAAATAGCTTTACTTTGTTCTCTGGGTCAAGTTTTAGACAGAGAGAGGCGTTGAAAGGCTGCTCCAACGGAACTTATTGTTTCGGAGGAAAACGCGAACAGTGTACAGTTAAGTCTTAATAGCTTACTTACAACTGGGCTCGTCAGGCTCTCTGTTTGGCTGCAGTGGTTATTATTATATGCTATATATGCTATAATAATATGTGCTTCCAGCTCCTGTTTCTGCTCGATGACAACTCGTACTTTTCTACTCTCCTTTTTCTCCCTCCTCGCGCTCACAGACACATAACGTGTATAGCAGTCCATTCTCCCTGCAGCACGGACTACACTGCCCATGAGGCTACATTATTTAGGGCGATGCCTGTAGCATTCTGCCTATTAGCTTAGCACAACAACAAAAAGGTGCTCTCTCACCCAGGAAACACAGAGAGAGCGTTACCCTGTAACCATGGCAACCGTAACGCTGCCGCCTGGAACAACAAAACAAACAAAACCCAAACAGTCCTGACCCGCGATAATATGAAACAGGAAAATACCCTTGTGTAATCCATTTATTTCAACAAAGTAACTGTATTCTAAATACCACCTTTTTAAACGGTAACTGTAACGGATACAGTTACTCATATTTTGTATTTTAAATACGTAACGTGGTAAATGTATTCCGTTACTCCCCAACACTGCCCAGGTTCCAATATGGATCCGAGCAATGCGAGTAAGAGAATTGGAGATTTAAAAGCGTTTGTCTGTCGTCCATTACTGTATATAGTAACTATTAAGTCTAATATACCCTAGTAAGCTATAGTACTTTTTCCTTTGGGAACCATCTATGCAGTCTGCAGTTCTGTTGAAGAAAGATGATGAATTTATTTAATTACTCTTCAAAAATAATTTATTTCTGTGTATTTTTTTTCCACACTGCATCAAATTAAAGTTGATTACGTCGATTAAGCATCATGAGGTGGAGGGTGGTTCCCTATTTTTTGGGTTTTTTTGCTGGGAGTTTTAGAACCCTATTAGTTAGGTTGCTTACTCTTTAAAACACCAGAATAGGGAGGATGGTGCAGGTTTAAGTTTATTAGCTTGATCAGTATTGCTGAACTATGAAATATTTTGGGTGCAGTGCATTTTTTGCATAAAGGTATAACAGAATAGCTTTAGTGTTTTTTTTAACTTGAGTATGAACTTATACAAAAAGCAGCAAGATATTAAAAAAAGTTTTATTGATTAAAAAACACACTATATTGGATTCATATCGGTATTGGCAGATATCCAAATTTATGATATCGGTATCGTGCCATCTCTAATTGCAACATGGCATTTGGGTCTTCTAACTAAAATAGGAAAATAGGAACATAAACAGTGGCATCTACGCCAGGCCTGGCCCACATCTGGATGACATACCACTTACCATGCCAGAAGTCAACCAGCAGGCCCGGCTTGATACCAGATCCGGGCCAGACCTGCTTGCTATGTGGGTGTTGGCTGCTGGGGGATTCCCATGATGCACTGGGTGTTTCTTCTTCAGTCAGCTTTTTCACTCACTATGTGTTTATACACCTCTCTGCATTTAATCATTAGTTATTATTAATCTCTGGCTCTCTCCCACAGCATGTCTTTTATCCTGTTTTCCTCCACTCAAATATACAGTAGAAAAGCTCCCAAGCATTTTATTTAATGAGCTGTAATAAAACAGATCAGTTTGACAAGCAGTGCTGACAGAAATAAAGTTGTGGCTAAAGCTTTGTAGTTGTGTGCCATGGTTTCTGAGGTGTGACTCACCTGGAGCCTACTTGCTGCTGCTGCTCTGGTGGAGATGTTGCTGAGGTTGGTGTCGGGGGGGTTGGTGTTGTGGGCTGGACCCTGCACCCCCTCCTCTGATGGTAGGTCGGATAGCATGGGAGAAGGACGGATTCTGATGGTGCTGATGACCGGCTCTTATTGGCTTGGCTATATGAATGCAGGTAACAGGTGAGTTTAGGTAAAGACAAACAGCCTATCACATCACATATCAGACTTGGCTTGTTTTAAGTTATCTTCTCACCAATCTGAGCCGAGTGTCCTTTCCTGAACAGGTTTTTGGACCGCACAGCCTCTTTGATGCGGTCAACTTCCTGTTGGTAGCGTTTGCGATCCCTCACGGCTGACTCTTTTGCATTTTTCAGAGCAGTTTCCAGAGCTTTCACTCGCTCCGCTGTAGCCCGGAGACGCTTCTCCAATTTGGGCAGCTCACAGCGGAGCTCAGCGTTATCCCGAACCAGCTGGAGGAAACAGCTACTGTCAGTTATGTGACTTGAAAGCGTGTTTGTTTATCCACCTTGAGGAATCCCCAGTAAAACACTTCTTTCTTTAATTATTATTTATTAAAGCAGGCAATGAATGATTACATGTTATCATGTACATGGATCCCCTTTGTTCAGAAGACCACAGGCTGTAAAGTTGCAGATCAGAGTTCCTCAACTTATCAGTATACAAAGTTTTATATGAGACTGTGCATCTATCTGATTGATTAAAATTGATGGGGAGAAATCATAGTTTACACTTAATTCTCCCATCGTCGGTGCCTCGGGCTGGTCCCAGCTTCTCAGCAATCTGCCTTGTCCAATCCAGGGGAGCAGCACCTACAAACTCTGCTAAACATGTACTAAGTGCTTTTCCCTATTCATTCACCTTTCACCTAACAGCCTGTTGTCTTAGTGACCGTGAAAGCAACCCTGACTGAGACGCCAGATGTTGTTTTGTCTCAAGCGGTCCCTAGTGGAGTGTTGGGCAAGTTAATTTGAAAAAGTAATTAATTACAGTTACTAGTTACTTCTTCAAAAAAGTAACTGAGTTAGTAACTGGGTTACAAGATTCTAAAAGTAATTAATTACTTGGAAAGTAACTATTCTGTTACTTTAAAAAAAACGTTTAACCCTCTGGGGTCCAGGGTATAATTGGCCATTTTTAACTACTTTTGATGTTTCCTCCACATCTCACCTTTAAAAACTATTTACTTTGCCTTGTTTGGTATC